TAATACTCGCATTACATTTACATAAATAATAACTTTTTGTATGAATTCCTTCTGTTTTTGATTTAATTCTGTCAAGAATTTAGTGAACTTTTTATTACATTTAAAACCGGATATCAAATAAAAACATTTCATAAAAAGAGATATTAAATAAAAAATGTTTAAATTATAAATCTTCCATAAAATTCACAATTTTGAGAAAACAGAGAATCGATTGTAAGGAATGGGATCCGGTGTTGGAGTGACTATAGTCTACACTTTAATATATTGTGAGTTTTGACGATTGGGAGACATTAGCGATCATTTAATACAACAATCGTTATAATCATTACATGATTTCAAAATTATATAATATATAATATGGCGAAACAAATCATCAAAAGATACGAATTGTTTACTTTAATTATACAGAAAAACAAAAAATTATATATAAAACGAATATAACATAACTGTATGTTTGCATCAATATTTAAAAAGTATTGTTTTGTTAAACTCACACTTCTAGTTCACCACTAATACATGTATAACTCACTGGTGAGGGTCTCAATGGGAACTGAATGGTCATTGAGGGGTCATTGAGGGGTCGGTCAGTCAATCGGTGAATCGGGTGCAGGCCTTCTTCCACTTGCATTGTGTACACCAGGCGTCCCTGCTGTCCATACCATACACTTTACGACACTTACGACTCTCTCCTCTGCCCCGCTTTGACGGCGACGTCTTATTGATGGCCGTCTGAAGAATGGTTGTGCCGATTGTCAGACCATTAGTGCCATTAGAGACTCGATTATTATTGCTGTTGAGGTTGAGTCGCATGTATTTGTGGTTAACACGGGGCGACTGGAGGGGAACCGGTGGAGCACTGGTTGCATATTGATGTCTATACCCGGCTGACAGCGAAGACATACCCGGAATGTTGATCGGAGTGGTGGACAGCAATGACTTTTGTTTGCTCTTAAGCGCAATGTTATTGTTGTTTAGATGATTACTATAATTATTGGTTTTCATGTGAGTGTTATTATTGACATTCATATGAATGGTATTCAAGTGATTATTCAATTGAATGAGTTTGTGGTCGACGTGTGAGTGTTGTTGGCGTCTCTCGTACTCGTGATCCTCTAAATGACTGAAAGTGGGCGCCGATGACGACTGCGGCGCGAAGAATATGTGCGTTTGCGGCGATGGAGTGGGACTTTGGCTGCCCGTCAGACTCCCGTCGTTGCTAATCGATGGCGACTGAGGCACCGACTGAGACAATGACGAGTTGGACGACGACGAGCCCACAGAGTTGTCATCCATCCCGACCTCTGTGTAGTAGAACTCCTCCTCTCTATCACTACTCTCGTCGTTGAGATCAGTTCGACTGAAATCATAACAATCATAACAATCACATCATTTACATTCACTTATCATTACAGATATCTCTAAATAGTTAGTCATCTCTTGGAAACTCTATTTACTGATCGCTCCCTACTTTCAATCCCTTCTCTTCCCATTCAATGAGTGAAATGAGAGTCAAATAACATTTTTTATGAATCAATGATTAGTTCATTAAAAGATAACATATTTTTCTATTTTTAAAAATGAAAATAAATTTCATTTCATGTGAAAATGAAAAGGAAATTGAATAAAAATATTTGATTGAAATAATTATTCTTCATTCAAATGTATTAATTTGTGAAAATATATAAACTTAAGTGTCATTTGAAGTGTCAGTTAGAAGTGTCTATAGCAGGCACAGTATTATCAGATCGTTAGCACTTGAAAACACAGTAAAAATACTAAAGTCAAGCAAAATACTGCTCACTGTTCAGAGTTTCACTATAAATAATGGAAACAATGCAATAAATAGAGTAAAACAAAACATAGAAATACAGTACTAATAGTGTTAGACATAAACATCAATGAAGATATCATTGCAATTGAAAGGCTCTAAGGTATAGCTTATTGTATTAAATGATGAGAAATTGTTTGTTTTAAGTGACAAAATATTAATTTAATTATTTTATAATCGATTTTTCAATTTGAGATACTATTATGGTTATAGTTTCTAAAGTAAAACCACTTAATCGATGGATAAATAACTCAACACTCCTTAAATACTATCTCTAATAATGTGATGGCGTTAACTGTGACATAAATGCTAAATGACCAGTATATTTATTGCTACCGGTATTACGCCGGTATAGTGCACCGGTATATGGTATATACAGTAGAGTTGCCTAGAAATATGAGTCAACTAATAATCAAGTGGACGGTTAGCTGTAATCTTATGGTGTGGATGATAGCGATATGAATAGAAAATGTGAACAAACCCGAGATGTTGTGTGCGGACATGTTTCTCGATTTGTTGGCAGTGCTCGCTTTGGTAAAGACATCCGGGCCAAGTGCACTTGTATATGATTACTGTCAACCCATTTGTATATAAAGTACACAATTAGTTATAAGTTATGGATAAGTGTATTGTATAATAAACGGTCAAAACGGTAATAATTGTGTATTAATAGCTAATAATTGTGTTTACATTCAGGAAGTCGGGGCGATTTGGGACTACACGACAGACTCATCAAAACCATTGCAGCCATACAGTCGTCCATTACATCGTCCTCTGAATTACTGGGCCTTCGTTTGCGACCACTGGATGTGAAATAGGGATTCAACAGACAATATATGAGTTAACGTTAGCCTAAGAGTTCCGCAATTCAATGAACTTATAATTTTGTAAATTAGATGCACTTATAGTGGGGTTTCAATCATAAGGTATTCTACTTTTCAAACCAATAAGAATCGCATAATTAGCACATCTTTACGCTTTTATATCCACTAAATATCCAGAGCTTAAGCTAATGACATATCATTAGAGATGAAAAAAGATTTTGTACCTTAAATGCAGTCATAGTATGGTTTGCATTTGGTGTGCAATGGATGTGCAGCACAGGACACCGACCCAATCATAACTGACAATCTCTTTGCAGACTTATAGGAGGTTAACACGCGATATGATAACAAACGTGTATTTTGACGCTTACTCTCATTTTGATAGCACTTTTACGTTCAAATTGTCAATACTTT